AGAGAGAGAGAGAGAGAGAGAGAGAGAGAGAGAGAGAGAGAGAGAGAGAGTTATTCCAGACTAAATAAAAAATCACGATGACATCAAAGTGACGAGAAAATTACTAAAAAGCTCATATTTCAACCATGATACCATCATTTTCTTGTCATTTTGACGTCATTATAAGGTCAATGTGATTTTCTGTTCTACCTAAAATATAACCAATATATTTACCTCTTTCAAACGTACATGAAGAAAAAGTTTGAGTGTATTATCATAAAGATTGATTGAACTAATATAAAAAAATGAATGTATCAACACGTTGCAAAAAACGGAATTTTTTGTTTTTATAACCAAATTTTGATGATAAAGACTACAGAATATTTTATGTCCTTCAACCAACACGTGTTGGTTTGTTTATTAAAACTATATTAATATTAATATACTTAAATGTTTTTTCCCGCGTGCTATATTTTTCTTTTATTCACTATAAAGTGCAAAACAAAGATGATTTCAAACGGCTTGTCCGGTGTTTATTCCAGTTAGGATAGACTGGGCATAACCTATGTAGAGCAGAAAATCATAATCGTCAAAATGACGTCAATAACGTAAAAATGACCGAATCACGGTCAAAAAGTGACTTTTTATAGTTATTTCTACGTCATCATATTTCCTGTTTTACCAAGGAAGTGAGTTATGCAAAAAACTTGCAAGAAAAGTTTGAAATTAAATTGTCTTTCGAAGAGAAAATTCACGTGTTAGACTAATCTGGCGAGGAGGACGAGGAGGACGTTTCAACAGCGCGATCTTCTTCACGCAAATAGGATAAATGATTTGTTGCGCGTGCGAGCACGAGCGAGTTACACGAAAGTTGCAAAGCGAGTCGTATCTCATTGAATGAAGGAGATACGCGATCGCGACCCGCCACCATTGACGTGAGTCTTGCTTGCGCGAATCGTGCATCTGCGTCGACAGCAATCTCTCGTCTTGGACGTAACGCCTGTGACGGGGACATATCTGACGCTTGTTCGAAGTCCGCGACATCGAGGAGTGCGTAGGCGCCGCCACACGATCTATCTCGACCTATGCAGTTGAAGGGACAAATTAGAGCTCTGCGCATAGCTTATTGAAAGCTCGACGCGCCTCGACGAGGCTAAAGTTAATCGTGTTGATTGTTCGTGAAACGGCACATCAAGCCAAACTTGCAAGGATAGACTGCGCGCAATATGCTGTGAATATTTGTCAGCATCTTGTTAATAGAAATAGGGGAACCTGAGACATAACGAGATTGCAGAGCATAATAGGATATCGTTGATAATTTTTTAAAGCCATCTAATGAAATATTTTATAGTTTTTACTGTTAAATGTCTCTTATTACTGGTGCTATTGCCAGTCGTCATAATATTTTCGACTAACTAGATATTGTATTTTATATATTTGCTGCAACTTGTTACAATTTGTTTTATACATTTGCATAAGATAAACAATGATAAAATTTTGCTTTCTATTACTGTGTATAAATTAACGTTACGAGACGATCTTTTCTCGTTATTTTAATTAAGCGCTTATACAAATATCAACAATCTGTGATGTTTTATACTACATAATCCAAATTTATATATTTCAAAGCATAACGGGATTGTATAATTATTCTACATGAAAAAATAAGTCGAAAATGTAGAATAATATTTTTTTGTACGAAGCTTTGTTCCCGAGAAAATCAATTTTGAATATTCGTCCAGATGACCAGGTCGTTACATTTTCATATTTTGGTTATTATAAAAAAAGTACGATTAACAAGTCGTGGCAAGCATTAACACATAAAAAAGGCTGTCTCTATCAGTTTGTACAGTTAATCACACCACTTAGTCTGGAAAGTTGTAACTTTGAAATTCTAAATTATGAAGCATCTAGCCCCGCTCTTCCCTATATCCCAGGTTGTTCTATAACTGGTGATTTAGTTATAACACTTTAATCAATAAAATTTTGCTAAAAAAATCAATCAATAGTATTGATTGTTCTTATTCATAAACAATGTCATTAAACATAAAGACATGGAAGCCGTTAATTTTATCACTACAAATGCGAGAAGTTGGATTTATATAACGAATTCGTTTACACTACAGATTTTACTACGGTGAAAGTTTACTTCTGCTAGTCAAAATCAGTAAGATATAAGACAAAGCGGAAGTGTTTTCACTAAAAAAATATATATATATATTTTTTTTTTAATGAAAACACTTCCGCTTTATCTTATACCTCACTGATTTATATACATATATATATATATATATATATATATATATATATATAT